TTTTTTTTTACACTTATAGTCAGTTACGTACTATCTCACGCACTGATACCAGTGTGCTCACACATCAATGTGTGATATGGGTTATCAATTAGCAAAAAAGCAGACTGACGGGGCGAAGCGACGTGACCTATGCCCAATGCTGGACGTTTTGAATCCCCGAGTTAACCTTCAACCACCTCGTAAGAGCTTACATGCACGTCCGTGCTGTCAGACGCGGCTCGGACGTGCTTACGGTGTTATATGTACACTAGCCACCTATCCATCTAGTTACACAGAATCTGTTTACTTCTGTTCATCAAACATTCATTTCGCTGTTTACTGTTTGATCGCTGCGGGAGCCTCAAAGGCTTCATTTCTGGCACGGCGATAGCTGCAGTAAACAGATTTGCCGTGCCGGCGCGATTGCGCCGGGGATTGCCGTGTATATCAGGGTCTGCAAACGATCGTTGCATGTGGCGCTGAGAAGGATTTGCTACTTGGAATGTTACTTCAGCTGGAAACGCTCGCAATCTGGTAGCTTATGCATAACAATGCGGAACTGCTTAGTGATTAGTGATTGTTATTTGTTAAACACTGTTTGAACTGCATCTCGTTGAACCTTCTAAAAAATCATCGGTAGATATTTATTAATATTATCATCGTTTCAACGTCAGCCTTAACGAAAAATACTTCGGAAAAGCGAAGAGCCTAGCATGCATAATATGTATGCTGTTTTGCACTATGGATATTGATGTCTCTCTTGGGGGAGTATAAAGACGCCTTAGTGCTCCAAAACAACGTAAAAAAATATTGTTTGGGAAGCATCGCAACACAAACGATCCTTAATTCCATAAAAGACTTGTTAGGGGCAGGCTTAAAGTTAAGCCTATGAATTGCGTGATAGGATCGCTATCATATGTCCCGGTTGGGGTAATTTGCTAGATAAGTAATTACGTTTTTATATAGAGCACCGTGCGTCGCGGTCACGACACGAAGTTTGTTGGACCGTGGATCGGGAACAGCTTAATTAGACGATGTAGGTAAGGCTTGATGCAGTTGACACACAACATGCTGTAAATGTAAGAGGGCTTAAACATATTTTTGCTACCTTGCTAACCTTGCTAACCAATTGTCGGAATCTTTTTAACATTGCTAAAATACTTATGCAGTATGTGTATATGTAGATTAAAAGGACATCTGTTAGCGTAAAAGGTAGCAAAAGGAAGAGTAATTTTAACCGTTACACCAATGCTCGATGGAAGCTGTTGAATATCATCGACTGCACACGGTGAGTCATATGTCAATAACAAGCTTGCTAGACCTTGGGTAAAAGAAAACGGATCATACTTTCAGCCAATCGGTAGTTGAGTGCCTCGCACCGCCGCGCCGCACCATGCATTAGCCAAATGGCCGCACTCGGTGGCCGGGCAATCTTTCAGCCTGTCGCCGACCTAGAAGTATGTGTACGACGGTGCATCCGCCACGACCTCTTCCGTCCAGGCCAGCAGGTTGGTTGGCTGGTAACAGAACCACCATATCCGGTGGACCAAGGTACAGTCGTGTACAGGTTGATGGTCCCCTACTCTTTATCCACCGGGCTCCTATGGCTCAGCATTGGCAGCAGCCGCCTGGTACCGGTAGGCTGTGCCTCATGACCCGAGAGTGAAGCGGCACAGTCTACCCACGCCGTTTGACATCGGCTCGGGTCGCCGGGTGGAGCGCTTTGTAGACCAGCTGTTGCGTCAGACCAGCGCGGGGGGAGGGGCTCGTCTCGGTGGTTGGCGTGGGCTGGCGAGTGGTGTGGGGCGTGTTGGTGGACCATGGGGGCTGGGCGGGTGTGTGTGGTCACTTGCTGCATTGCACATTTTGCGTCGCTTAACAATTTCATTCCTGTTTTTGCTAGGCAGAATGCACGGAAGACCCAGCGAATATAATTTACTTTACTCGTGCATTGTGCAAAACGTGATTTGGCACGGTATCGAGGCAACCATAGGTCTTGTGCCTACGCATGATATTTAGTCAATACGTTTATGAAAACGGTAGATTGATGCTGGATGTCAATTCGTATTGCTAAATGTCGGCGCGTATTAAATGAATGAATGAATCAATCAATCAATCAAACAATCAATAGACATGTATAAAACCGTTTAAATGGCTCGCAACCACTAATAGCAATCACACCATCCTAACTCGGAAAAGCAGCCGGAGCCCTGGTGAGGCTCGAACCGGGACTCCACGCTGTAAGTTTTGCCAATGATCCATCATCATTCCACCAAGCTAGAGTAACCGGCAGCCGAACCCACAAGAACATTAATTGACTTTGCCGCCGACCTCACGGCCCCGCCGCCCGCCAGGCCAGACTTTGCCCCGGGCATAGCCACAGTCCGGTGTAGCTCAGCGTAGGAGTGCTCGACTGTCAAATTGACCGGTAGTGAGGGGCCCGGTTCGAAACGCTTCGGGTGCTGGATGTTTGTTTCTCGGTGGGAGGCTTTACGTTTAGTCCACTTTTCAGAAAGATCATTTGGTGACTGACCTGTTTTCTTTCTTTGCTGCAATTCATGAGGAGACCGTATGCACCCTTACCTGTCCTTCCGCACCCCACTTGGGATATGGGTGGTTGCCCCCCCCCCCCATGGGTTTGTGAATATCTCTAAAACGAATTTTTGGAGGGGGATACGATCGGTTCTATGCGACAAGTGACACACGCCCAGCCCCAGGTCCGCTCACTCCCTACCCATATCACCCCCTCCCCACACCACACTCCAGCCCGCCTCATCCACCGACCCGAGCCATGACGAGCCTCAGCGCCCCGGGGCGCGACCTGTCAGCGAACCGGCGGGGACGCGGGCCGGCGGTTGCGTGCGCCGCGGGGGCAGGGGCGCGTCCAGGCGTCGGGGACATCGAGGCGGCGCGAGCTGGCGCCGCCACGGCGACACTGGACCAGACCTGATAATTGGACACCTCAACATTCAGTCGTTGAAGCCCAAACTGACGGATCTGCGAGACGACATTCATAGAGGAGTTCACGGATTTGATATATTGTCACTGTTATTATATAACAGTGTTCGATGACAGGTCGCGCCCCGGGGCGCTGAGGCTCGTTATTGCTCGGCTCGGTGGATGAGGTGGGCTGGAGTGTGGTGTGGGGAGGGGGTGATATGGATAGGGAGTGAGCGGAGCTGGGGCTGGGCGTGTGTGGTCACTTGGCATAGAACCGATCGTATCCCCCCTCCAAAAATTTGTTTTAGAGATATTCACAAACCCATGGGGGGGGCAACCACCCATCTCCCAAGTGGGGTGCGGAAGGACAGGTAAGGGTGCATACGGTCTCCTCATGAATTGCTACAAAGAAAGAAAACAGAGGCCAGTTATAATCGCATACGGCTGCGATTATTTTTTGACAAAACGATAGTCTATAAATCCTATTTACTGGTGGAAAAAGTAATTGCTGACCAAATAATATAGCACTTGAAAGCTGCGCTATTACATTTTTCAAGTCAGCGATTAGTATTTTTAGCAGTAAATGACATCTTGAGACTATCGTTTTGTCAAAAAGTAATCGCAGTCGTCTGTTTTTTATTGGTGAAACTGGCCTCAGGTCAGTCACCAAATGATCTTTCTGAAAAGTGGACTAAACGTAAAGCCTCCCACCGAGAAATAAACACCCAGCATCCGAAGCGTTTCGAACCGGGCCCCTCACTACCAGTCAGTTTGACAGTCGAGCACTCCTACGCTGAGCTACATCGGATGGTGGCTATGGCCGGGGCAAAGTCTGGCCGGGCGGGCGGCGGGGCCGGGAGGTCGGCGGCAAAGTCATTAATGTTTTTGTGTGTTCGGCTGCCGGTTACTCTAGCTTGGTGGAATGATGAGGATCATTGGCAAAATTTACAGCGTGGAGTCCCGGTTCGAGCCTCATCAGGGCTCCGGCTGCTTTTCCGAGTTAGGATGGTGTGATTGCTATTAGTGGTTGCGAGCCATTTAAACGGTTTTATACATGTCTATTGATTGTTTGATTGATTGATTGATTCATTCATTCATTTAATACGTGCCGACATTTAGCAATACGAATTGACATCCAGCATCAATCTACCGTTTTCATAAACGTATTGCCTAAATATCATGCATAGGCACAAGACCTATGGTTGCCTCGATACCGTGCCAAATCACGTTTTGCACAATGCACAAGTAAAGTAAATTATATTCGCTGGGTCTTCCGTGCATTGTGCCTAGCAAAAACAGGAATGCAATTGATAAGCGACGCAAAATGTGCAATGCAGCAAGTGACCACACACACCCGCCCAGCCCCCATGGTCCACCAACACGCCCCACACCACTCGCCAGCCCACGCCAACCACCGAGACGAGCCCCTCCCCCCGCGCTGGTCTGACGCAACAGCTGGTCTACAAAGCGCTCCACCCGGCGACCCGAGCCGATGTCAAACGGCGTGGGTAGACTGTGCCGCTTCACTCTCGGGTCATGCGGCACAGCCTACCGGTACCAGGCGGCTGCTGCCAATGCTGAGCCATAGGAACCCGGTGGATAAAGAGTAGGGGACCATCAACCTGTACACGACTGTACTAACCGGAACTCTCACGCTGTTCCAAGCGGTCAGCCAGCGGCAATGCCACGTGCATTGTCCGGAAATCGAACCCGGATGGCTGAATTTAGAGGCAAGGAACTTACCCCTGGACCAGAATGCTCCCCAGAGGCCATCCGTGAAGGTCGTCATTCCTTCCCTATGATCGTCGGCTGCCTCTATCTGACAGCGATCAGAAAGCTTGCACTCCCCGAAAACAGCTGAAGGACATCAATTAGTGCCGGTAGCGCTCCGGCGGTGTTTCAACGCTCCCTGTCATTCTCGCTGGTCTGTCTGCTTTTACGAGTATAGCGTTGGCCAAACACAGCCGTGCCAGCCCTCTGAGCTCTCTAGTCGGTCAGTGAGGCGCGTCGGCTCTCAGCACAGCACGCCTGGAGCGCCGGGTCGCTCCAGTGCCGGCAGCACCACCAGTAGTCGGCGGACGGTGGCGGCGGGCGGCCGCACCCCGACCTACCGCGGAGCCCGCCGGGCGCGTGACGATCTGTAACCAGTGGTGACGTGTGGCGGCGTGACGTACCCAGTGATGGCGCCGTGACGCCTGGTTGTGACGTGGTCAGCTGGAGGTCAGGTCGGCTGGTGAGGCCACGTCAGGGTCGGATCAGGTCAGGTCATCTGATGGTGCCTGGTCAGGTTAGGGACGGGTCAGGTCAGCTGAAGGTCGGGTCAGGTTAGCCTGAGGTCCGGTCAGCTGGAGCCTGGAGGTCTGGTCGGATCAGGTCAGTTTGAGGCCTAATAGATCAGATCCGCTGGTCATCAGGTCAATGCGGCTAAAATTTTGATTTAAGTCATCTGGGAAAAAAATAAGTGCAAACCGACGCGCGATAAAATTATGACGTTAAGCTAAAACGAACAGCAAACATTTCACAGATGGGAAACTTGCAACTGCAGTTTGAATCAGCTGCTCGGTGGCCGGTGCGCAACCTTGTTTCCAAACCAAATTACCAATGTATGATATTTGCAGCCTTGAAAACACCTACACTGAAATGAACACCTAAATTTAATTTAGGTAAACCGCATTTGCCTTACAAGTCTCATATGAAGCTTTGCAAGTGAGATATGGACATTATCACTTTTCTGGCCAGAGCCCAATTTTTGTTTTGAGTTCTGGCACCTAAACCCACCCAAACCCAGTTTTTTGATCTCAGCAATTGTAGCTGCAATATTATTTCATATGATAATTGACGAAGGATACAATGGTTCAGACTTCAGTGGTGACAACAGCCACAGACAGAAGCAAAAACAATATTCTAGCTTGAAACGGTTTGTCGAAACAATTTTCAATCATTTGTCATCGATATTGGACGTAGCATGCATAATTGAGATATTTCCAACTTTTAGATGGAGCGAAATCATTATATCAAGTTTGCTACATTTGCCTGCTTTAATACTGTGCAAATGCACTGAGATAAATCCATCGCCACCTTAATTCTTAAAAAGCCTTTACTAACACAAACATGCAAATACCTTTTTTACTTAGCGTATGTTTTCCTTACAAACAACCTTGCTCAGCTCCTATGCAAATGGCATATTTGAGCCACTTTTACGGACAATGTGACCAGTGGCAGCCCGGGTCCAACCAAAACATTGTGCGAGCTCCGTCTGGGCCATAATGCACCCCAGTCCACGCCGCAGCAATGGGTGGCACGGTGCCGCGGTGGGCGGCATATACCAAAGCAAAGGACATCCGCTTTTTTCTCATATGGGCTTTATCTACACATACCACACATACAACATACAACATCATGAACATGCACAGTCAGGTCAGTTCCAACTCCAAAAAGGAACCAGGACATCCGCTTGGGTGGTGGAAGATGCACCCCGGCGGTTGGTGGTATTATATGAGATGAATACAACACATTCGGATGGATGCGTTTTATGACATACTTTTCAACATCCCTTTCAGAAATAGAGGCAATACAAACAAAAACTTGCTTGTCGGTATGCGTCCTTTTGTTAGCTATAGCCTTCTCCTGGCGTTGAACAGTTCGGCGCTTGGGTGGGAGATACAGTACTGACTGTGCCGGAGCCATTGGGCTGTGGGCGGGCTTATATTTCTCCTGTCACCGGACACTAATAATGCAGTCCGTGCGGTCTTCCCGTCCGTATGGCAACCATGACCACTGACCACCCAGCAACAGGCCAGTTTTAACGCCACGTCGAGCTGACCTCGTCGAAAAGAAAATGACTGTCATTTCTACGACAGGTCACTGATAATCCTGACTGGATTGGGCCTTCCATCGCGACAGCCATCTCGTATTTCTATCGTCTCGGGACTCGTTGACGGGGCCTGAGTGCCGTCCCCCCAGGCTTTCTGTGCTGGCCTTGAATTGCAGGCAATCAGCAAACATTTGGGCCGGTCCGTGCGTCACTGTGAATTCCACTGACATAAGTCGCGTTCAGTGGGGGCTCGGAGTGGCGAGCCGAGTGCGGGGCGCCGCTCCGGGGCCGGGGCGGCGGGAGGGGAGGGGGTGCCTCAGCGGAGCGCCTATACTCGGGTCGTGCCCTGGCTCACCGAGAGTGGACGTCGTCGACGAGCGCTGACGATGCTTCAGCGGCCTCCAGTGGCGCCCAGCGCACAGATATTCTCCGGAGAGCGGCTCCTAAGACACGGACGACGACCGATAGAGGCCCATCGTAAAAGTTCAGAAACGATGAAGAGGCAGATACAAGACAATCGCATTACTGACTGGGCCGATTTGAGAAGTGATAGGCCTCAAAAGGATCGACGGGAGATAAAGTCGGAAATTCATGTGTAGGGACGGACATTGGAGATATTCGACATCGCATAGCGGAATAGGTCGTGAATGTCGCTTTGATTCAGATCGGCGTTGGATTATAACTATCCAGGAAGTTTATGGCTCTGTCAAATTTATTTGATCTGGACTGACACTGAGGGCAGAGGCTGGCTAATGAATAAATCTATTCATGAGTGGAGCTGTCAGCCACAAGTCAACTGTTGCAACTTGTTAGATGTCGAGTGATCGATACTGATGAGAATATGATTGGTTTCTTCGTTTTGCTTACGACCCACCTGTTGAATGCTGCAGCACACATGAAGAACATACTGCACTCAAAATTCATTGAAGAATTTAAGTTTTTGCCTTTGTATGACATTGTATATTTTTCAACTGCAAAACTATGCCGTCTCAAAACGCACTTATTTTGATAGGAAACATATTTACGTCCAAATTTAGAAGCAAAACAGGCGGATTCACAGCAAACCGGTACCGGAGTGGGTGGATATGGTGGACAGGGATGCCATGCCAGGACTGGGCTGGGCCTGTTGCGCTTGTGTTTTGTACTTCTTTCTTCCGTACATACCACACTTGCCTATTTGAAGTGACACTTGCACGAAAATATCTATTGCCCTCCCTCTATCCCAGGTCACCTAATGACTGTCAATCATCTGGCATATCATCTGCATTTTTCAATATTCCGTATTACTTTTATCCAGGGTGGTTGGAAAAGAATAAATATGTAGTACCCAGAGCCATGCCATAGGGAATCAGCAGCTTCAAGAATCGGATCATTTATCCAGATTCATTTTCAGCATTTCTGATTGGCTCCGTACTAGCGTCCGTCACTTGCGACACTCATTGATTACATCACAGCTCTGGCGATGATCCTAAACCAATCACGTCTTTCTTCAGCGACCAATTATGTCGATCAAACTCGTTCCCGGTAATCCAAACCATCCCGTTAGGATTAAATTCACATCATGAGAAGTTATTGCACCAGCGGACCTGGGTACCCCGGCAGATTTAACACAGATACTGTCGAGGCTTAGCAAAAGTTGAGCGCCTTTCGCCTCGAGCGATCTTAGTCAACGGCTCCTCTCGCGAACGCGGTAGGTAGGCTGTACCGCAGCACAGCCACGCCTTGCGGCACAGCCTACCTCCACAGGCAACAGCTGCAGTGGCGCAGCGCGACGGCGGCCGCCTGGCTGACCTTGCATTCTTGTGGCTTGGCACTGGCCGCTGCGCATACGCAAATGTGTTGACAGGTTGGTCAGATTTGAGCCGCTGTTTCTGTGTTTCCTGCTATAGAAGAAGCTCTCTTGCGACACATTGCCGTTGGCCGTTGCCGTACCCTGATCGCGTTAGCCGGCTGACGCTATCGCTATCTTGACGAACGCCAGTCAGTTGCACTCATGGGCTGAGCGGATCGACTTGGGAGGAGATGAGAGCTTTTAAGTAATATCGTTTTAGGCACAGAACAGCGTGGTTAGGACTGACCACTCATCAGAACCCAGGCATGTTTTGAGTTTCGGTGAGCATTAGCCGCTAAATCGCCGTTATGGATCGATGAGATAAGGCGCAGCTCAGATAGCACTGTGGTGACGCAAGCTGATTGATCATATCATCATTGTAGTGACGGAGTGGGAATCATGTATCACTCTGGCGGTGGAGTGGGGGCATGGGACTTGTATAATAGGTAGCAATCGCTTCTGAGATAGTTGGCTCATATGGGCATCAGTTATTCAGTTGCATGGGGGGGGGGAGGGATGGAGTCTCGACGGCACAGATATATTTCTGTCAACGCAAGTCAGGTGCATATTTTATGCAACATGCCTATGGCTGCATGAGCGCTCATGTATCATTGTGGTACCGCTGTGAGGGCTATGCATCACCAGTTGTTGGGCGAGAGCATGTGGTTTACGCTCAACCAGGTCTGCTGACGGTTGCCAATCTGCATAAACAGCATGTTAGGATCGGCTCATTGGACAGGAAAATTCGTCCCGATCTGCTGTGTTACAAGAAAATGTACCTCAAGAGAACACTATTGTCGTCGCACCGATCAGGCTCGAGCAGCAGTAGGTATTGGTATTGCTTTGTGCAGACGTCGATGACGATGATTGGATGTTATGCTATTTTAGACGGCGCGACAGGACTGGATCAGACAGAATGGCTTTTATTTGGAAAGACAGCGTCTTGGATCGCTGCATATTTGCTATGACTTCCAATTATTTTCGTTGTTATCGCAGAATGACCTACTTTTGGCCTATGAATCTATTTTTGCTGCGGGAATCCACGGATCTACATAGCCCGACCCTTAGTCAGTCCGTTCCTTGAAGGCCACAGTAATCTGTCAGCCTGGATGGCCATTGTTTATCCCACGGCCACATATTACTATCCAATAGAACTAGGAAGTGCAGCAGTTCAGACTCCCGTTGGGAGCCAACTCTTCCGTTTGCAAGCCTCCTTCGAGAGAGACATTTGGCGATTCCAGATGACCATTTATGAGCAAATGGCTAGAACTCTTATTGCTCCGCTTGGACAGGTTTGAAATCGGACACGCGCTCGAAATTCAATTACCCAATAAGGGCCCGGGGGGATTCGATACCGTCGTAAACCATCAGACATATTGATCCTTACCAGTTACCACCTCTTCTAGAAAAGACGTCGAACAAGAGCAAGGCAGCCACTCGCAGGAAACGTGTCAACAAATGAAACAAAAAGTCACGCGCTCCTCATGAGGGTGTCTAATGACTAGTGAGTCAGGCATCTTGAAATGTCAGGAAGGAAAAAGATATGATGTTACCATGAATTAGGTATTCGGTATACTTCATGGATTAG